GGCGTACAATCTAAGCTCCCTAACCCTCAAGGGGTGTACAATCTAAGGTCCCTAACCCTCAAGGGGCGTACAATCTAAGGTCCCTAACCCTCAAGGGGCGTACAATCTAAGGTCCCTAACCCTCAAGGGGCGTACAATCTAAGGTCCCTAACCCTCAAGGGGCGTACAATCTAAGGTCCCTAACCCTCAAGGGGCATCCAATCTAAGGTCCCTAACCCTCAAGGGGTGTACAATCTAAGGTCCCTAACCCTCAAGGGGCGTGCAATCTAAGGTCCCTAACCCTCAAGGGGCGTACAATCTAAGGTCCCTAACCCTCAAGGGGCGTGCAATCTAAGGTCCCTAACCCTCAAGGGGCGTACAATCTATGGTCCCTAACCCTCAAGGGGCGTACAATCTAAGGTTCCTAACCCTCAAGGGGTGTACAATCTAAGGTACCTAACCCTCAAGGGGCGTCCAATCTAAGGTCCCTAACCCTCAAGGGGTGTACAATCTAAGGTCCCTAACCCTCAAGGGCCGTACAATCTAAGGTCCCTAACCCTCAAGGGCCGTACAATCTAAGGTCCCTAACCCTCAAGGGGCGTACAATCTAAGGTACCTAACTCACATTCATACATACACATACTAGGGACAATTTAGACAGGAGCCAATGAACCTACCAGCATGTCTTTGGAGTGTGGGAGGAAATTGACCAATATGGAGCGCACTCGGTAAGAATTGTTCACTTTTCTTCATAATAAGCACAGTGGCTAAATGGTTAGCACTTCCGCATGGCAGTACTAAGGTTGCTGGTTTGAATCCCAACCATGGCACCACCTGCCTGGAGTTTGCATGTTCTCCCTGTGTCTGCGTGGGTTTCCTCCAGGTACTCTGGCTTCCTCTCACACTCCAAAGACATGCTGGTAGGTGAATTGGCTCCTGTCTAAACTGGCCCTAATATATGTATGTAGGGCGGCACAGTGGCTTAGTGGTTAGCACATTTGCCTTGCAGTAAATGGGTCATGGGTTAGATTCCCGACCATGGTGCCTCCTGCATGGAGTTTGCATGTTCTCCCTGTGTTTGTGTGGGTTTCCTCCTCCAGGTTTTCCAGTTTCCTCCAACACTCCAAAAGACATGCTGGTAGGTTAATTGGCTCTAAATTGTCTGAGTTTCATCCCTGGCCATGTGGGATCTCCTGCATGGTGGGGGTTGGGGAAAGACCTGGCATCCTACCCTGTAAAATAATTGCTAAGAGAATTCATGGAAAAAGTTGCTTATGAGTGACGGTCCATGCAATCACCAAGGGTTGGATGTGTATGTATGAATGTGAGTTAGGGACCTTAGATTGTATGCCCCTTGAGGGTTAGGGACCTTAGATTGTACGCCCCTTGAGGGTTAGGGACCTTAGATTGTACGCCCCTTGAGGGTTAGGGACCTTAGATTGTATGCCCCTTGAGGGTTAGGACCTTAGATTGTACGCCCCTTGAGGGCTAGGGACCTTAGATTGTACACCCCTTGAGGGTCAGGGACCTTAGATTGTACACCCCTTCAGGGTTAGGGACCTTAGATTGTACACCCCCTTAAGGTTAGGGACCTTAGATTGTACGCCCCTTGAGGGTTAGGGACCTTAGATTGTACACCCCTTGAGGGTTAGGGACCTTAGATTGTACGCCCCTTGAGGGTTAAGGACCTTAGATTGTACGTCCCTTGAGGGTTAGGGACTGATGTGAATGTACAATATATATGTAAAGTGCTGCGTAAATTGACGGCAATATATATAAGTATAAGTGAAACACTAAGGGAATCATATACAATGAAGACAAAGATGGAAGATGCTCTAGTTTCAAATGCTGTGTTGGGGGGGCACAGATAAACCTCTCTTTCCTTCTTATCCCCCCAGCCATCTACTGAACTGAACTGTAGGATCAAGCTTGTCAAACGGAGCAGCACAAAAATGTGAAGGATCAGAAAGTCAAGCCCAACGGGAATGACCAGAAGAAATGGATGGAGGGACGGCATGAGTGAAGTGGTGAACACGGGAGATGTTTTAATAATTTTTAGTCCTCATGCACTCATGACGTGTTTACAGCGGCTGTTTTTGGCTTCCAATGTTTTTTTCTACAGCCAGTAACCCCCCCCCCCCCCAGCATGTTATCCTATGTGCCTGTACACACATAAACTGGAATCAGTGTTTTTTGGCTGGAAAAAACCCAGGACTAGCGGGTTTCTAGAAGAGTTTTTTAGCTGTTGAAAAACACGTTAAAATTCCGCAAACCGGCATTTTTGGCCTTTTTGTGACCAAAAAATATGTATTTTTTGTAGTAAGAAAAACGCAGAAAAAAGCTGCTAATCGTGGCAAAACGCAACTGAACGCGAATGCAAAAACACTAAAAAAAGCTGAAAAACTTGTGTTTTTAACGTGACTCTACACAGCTAACGTTACCAGCGTTATCAAAATGTCCCGTGTGCATAGGGCTCAGTCCTCACACACGCTGGGCGGTTTTTACAGCGGCAGTTTTTGGCTTTTGACAGTTTTTTCTACAGCCAGTAAACCCCTCCGCATGTTATCCTATGTGTCCATACACACACAGACTGGAATCAACGTTTTTTGGCTGGAAAAAAAAAACCCAGAACTGGTGGGTCTCTAGAGGAGATTTTTTTGCAGTAAAAACCCTCTAACGCTGAAAAAGGTGGCAAAACGCAGTAAAATGCTGCAAACCGGAGTTTTTGGATGTTTTTTGACCAAAATTTTTTTCATTTTTTTGGTACAAAAACACAAACGCAGAAAAACAACGATAATCGCGGCAAAACGCCGCTAAACGCTAATGCAAAAACACTAAAAAAAGCTGTAAAAAAAACTCAAGTTTTTAACATGACTTTACACAGCTAATGTAAATCTGTCCCCTGTCCCACTATAAGTTGCTGATCACCGCCATGACCAGTCTGTTAGAGAACATTAGTGAACAAACTGCATCATGAAGGCCAAGGAACACACCAGACAGGTCAGGGATAAAGTTGTGGAGAAGTTTAAAGCAGGGTTTGGTTATAAAAAAATATCCCAAGCTTTGACAATCTCACGGAGCACTGTTCAATCCATCATATGAAAATGGGAAGTGTATGGCACAACTGCAAACCTACCAAGACGTGGCCGTCCACCTAAACTGACCGGCCGGGCAAGGAGAGCATTCATCAGAGAAGCAGCCAAGAGGCCAATGGGAACTCTGGAGGAGCTGCAGAGATCCACAGCTCAGGTGGGAGAATCTGTCCTCAGGACAACTATTAGTCGTCACTCCACAAATCTGTCCTTTATGGAAGAGTGGCAAGAAGAAAGAAGAAAGAAAGCCATTGTTGGAAGAAAGCCATAAGAAGTCCTGTTTGCAGTTTGCGAGAAGCCATGTGGGGGACACAGCAAACATGTGGAAGAAGGGGCTCTGGTCAGATGAGACCAAAATGGAACTTTTTGGCCTAAAAGCAAAACGCTATGTGTGGGGGAAAACTGACACTGCCCATCACCCTGAACACACCATCCCCACTGTGAAACATGGTGGTGGCAGCATCATGTGGTGGGGATGCTTTTCTTCAGCAGGGACAGGGAAGCTGGTCAGACTTAATGGGAAGATGGATGGAGACAAATACATGGAAATCTTGGAAGAAAACCTGTTAAGAGTCTGCAAAAGCCTTGAGACTGGGGTGGAGGTTCCCCTTCCAGCAGGACAACGACCCGAAACATCCAGCCAGACCTACAATGGAATGGTTCATATCAAAGCATCTTCATGTGTTAGAATGGCCCAGTCACAGTCCAGACCCAAATCCAATGGAGAATCTGTGGCCAGCCCTGAAAATTGCTGTTCCCAGACGCCCTCCATCCAATCTGACAGAGCTTGAGCGATTCTGCAGGTGTACCTGCTCTTCCCTTCAGTCTTGCACAGGTGTAGAAGAAGAATGGGCAGAAATGTCCCTCTCTAGATGTGCAAAGAGACATCCCCAAAAAGACTTGCAGCTGGAATTGCAGCCAAAGGGGGTCCTATAAAGAATTGACTCCGGGGGGCTGAATACAAATGCCGCCACACGTTTCACAGATTTATTGGTCACAAATGTTGGAAACCATTTCTCATTTTCCTTCCACTTCACAATTATGTGCCACTTTGTGTCGGTCCATCACATCCAATCCCGATAAATACATTGTAACATGACAACATGGGGGGGGATACATTGTAACATGACAACATGGGGAACATTTCAAGGGGGAAGACTTGTTCAAGGCACTATATATAACACCGATATCTATACATTGAGTGCCTTTCCCTATATATAACACTCATATCTGTACACTGAGTTCCGATATCAGTGTTCTATACAGGGAATATAGAAATCTGGGTTATTAGGTTCAGGATAGGACCGAGCATCTGGTATGGTGGACTCTGGGCAGGAATCAGACTACTACTACTATATGAAGGGGTCGGGGGATTACACACTCACCTGCTGCAGGATACAGGGCAGGCCAGCTCAACGATGACTCTGCCCGCCTGAGTTCCCAAATGGTCAGTCCGCCCCTGGTAGGTGGATGTCACTCTGGAGGAGTGGGCAATCATAGACAAGCTGTAGTTACAGGGAGACTACCCTAGGTAATGCTCCCATATGATGCAGAACCTCCATGCTTGAGAGGACTAAAATCTTATGACTGAAAGGGGTGGGTCAAGGACAGTCAGGAAGGAAAAGAGCAAGATGATGCTGGATGTCATCTGGCCAGGAAATGAGGCGGAGCTCTATCTGACTTGCTGCAGCTTCTAATGCACATTGTGAGAAGCTCCCAGTGTGCAATGAAATCAGAGGAAGCCATTTCAGTCCAGGAGAGGAGCTGGTATACCTGTGCAAGACTGAAGGGGAGGAGCTGGTACAACTGTGCAGGACTGAAGGGGAGGAGCCGGTACAACTCTGCAAGACTAAAGGGGAGGAGCCGGTACACATGTGCAAGACCGAAGGGGAGGAGCCGGTACACATGTGCAAGACTGACAGGGAGGAGCCGGTACACCTGTGCAAGACTGAAGGGGAGGAGCAAGTACACCTGTGCAAGACTGAAGGGGAGGAGCTGGTACACCTGTGCAAGACTGAAGGGGAGGAGCCGGTACACCTGTGTAAGACTGAATGAGAGGAGCGGGTACACCTGTGCAAGACTGAAGGGGAGGAGCCGGTACACCTGCGCAAGACCGAAGGGGAGGAGCTGGTATACCTGCGCAAGACCGAAGGGGAGGAGCCGGTACACCTGTGCAAGACTGAAGGGGAGGAGCCGGTGCAGCTGCGTAAGACTGAAGGGGAGGAGCAGGTACACCTGTGCAAGACTGAAGGGGAGGAGCCGGTACACCTGTGCAAGACTGAAGGGGAGGAGCCGGTACACCTGTGCAAGACTGATGGGGAGGCCAGAGGTCAGATTTAAGAGTTGATAAGATGTTATTTCTACTCAGTGATGGCATTTCGAGGTAAAATCTCATCTGCCTCGCGCTCTATTCTCTGTAACAATCCAAAAGCATTTACATACTTCAAGCAGCTGAGTAAGTCAAGATGGCTGCCAGTAATCTCTATGATGACATCCATATGCTATCTATAGGTGCTGACATATAATCACTGGATGTCAATCACAACCACATGGATTGCTACACAAGAGGTTAAATTGGGGCATTTTCTCCCGCCTAGACCCTCAGATTCACCTCTCATCACACAATCATCAGGACTGACAAACAGATTGGAAACACATTGTAATTATCTCGTATCGCTGCCCATTATGTCAAATAATGAAACAATCTTTAGTTCAGGGAGGTAATGGAGGACAAACGCTGGACAAATTGTATTCATTGTAAATCAGCCATACAAAGAGAGATATTTTATCCGTTGTGACAGAAGACCTGCGAGGAAGCTTCTGCTCATAGAGAACACCAAGGCTTCCATCCAAATCCCAATTGGAATGACTTTTGATCCAAATACGTATCGCCTGCAGAATTGCACGGTTCTACCACGTGGGTAAAATTGCACGGTTCTGCCGGGTGGGTAAAATTGCACGGTTCTGCCGGGTGGGTAAAATTGCACGGTTCTGCCGGGTGGGTAAAATTGCACGTTTCTGCCACGTGGGTAAAATTGCACGGTTCTGCCGGATGGGTAAAATTGCACGTTTCTGCCACGTGGGTAAAATCGCAGCAGAAAGCATGTTTAGGTGCCATTATTGTTAAAATAAATGGTTGCGTTGCCCGCCAAAATGCTCAAAAACACGCCGTCCAAAACAACCCACCAAAGTCGTCTCCAAAAAAAAGCCGCAGAAGCTACTTCGGTGTGTTTTTGGAGCTGAAAGCAATCCATTCAAATGAACAATGCTGCTCCCAAAACGAGGCAAAAAGCGCACAAAACACGTCAAAACCTGCATCGCTCTGCCTTTGCTAGAACTGAACGGGGCCTAATCCCTGAGCGAGCTCCATTTCTGAATGGGGGCCCATTCACACCAGGTACAGTAGGACTGCATTGGGCTGTTACTCCAGCGTTGTTCCATCTAGAAGATGTAACATTTCCGGAAATTTTGAAGGCATGAGAAAAAAAAATTCCCTTTTTTCTTTTTTCCAGAAAAATGTTTTTTTGTTTTAAATTTAAAAAAAATTCAGTGTGGAGTAGTTTTACAAATTGAGAGTCGTTGTGTTACTCTGGGAAGGTGAATCGCAGTGTACATGAATGTATTATGCTGGAAATAAAAGTACAGCTTATTCAGTAAATAAACTAAACCTGCTTTTTAAAAAATAATTTTTATTACAAATGTATTGATAAAGGAGAAAAAAAAGGGAGAAGGGGACCCACAAAAAGGTCTCCTCCCTTGTTAAGAAAACTAGTGGGGCTTTAAAGGCACCACACCACAAAATGAAATACTCCAAAAATGTAACGAATACAACTTTATTAATAAAATTCAGACCACAGTTGTGGGATTGAGGATTGAACAGACAAAACGTCCATCTTAAAAAGCATACAGTGCTTGTAACAAAATCAATATATGACATTGCAGAATATGGCCTTAAATAGCATAAATGTCATGATTAGCATGATGGTTCCAAGTTGATACTTTGCTTGTTACTCCGACGCATTTCATCGGACACAGTCCGCTTCTTCAGGGAGACAAAGTATATCATTCCATTAACCTCCTTAGTGGTAATCCCGAGTGTAGTTCGGGGTAAAATTTCTATACCAAAAGTGGTAACCCCCCGAGCTACACTCGGGCTTACCATGCGGTGTTGCTCTGGGGGTCCCTGCAGGACTTACCTTGTCCTTCGCTCCCGCGATGTGTCCCCTGCAGTGTTCCCGGCCATCTCCTCCAGCCGATGCCGGCATCTGGCTTCTGTGTTCCGCTCCCTGTGACGTCGGGACGTACGGGCGCCGGAAGCGGTGGGAAATTTGAAATTTTTAAAAAGTTTCATTTTTGCTGTTATTGCTGTTTCAATGCATTTCACATACCGTATATACTCGAGTATAAGCCGACCCGAATATAAGCCGAGGTACCTAATTTTACCACAAAAAACTGGGAAAAACTATTGACTCGAGTATAAGCCGAGGGTGGGAAATGAGGCACCCCATTATTGGTTTGGTGTCAGTGGAATAGTGCCCCATCTTTGGTGTCACTGGGAGGAATAGTGTCCCAACATTGGTGTCAGTGGGAGGAATAGTATCCCATCATTGGTGTCAGTGGGGGGGGGGGTGGAGGAATAGTGCCCCATCGTTGGTGTCAGTGGGGGGGAGGAAAAGTGCCCCATCGTTGGTGTCAGTGGGGGGGAGGAATAGTATCCCATGACTGGTGTCAGTGGGGGGTGGAATAGTGCTCCATGATTGGTGTCAGTGGGGGGTGGAATAGTGCCCCATCATTGGTGTCAGTGGGGGGGGGGGAGGAATAGTGCCCAATCGTTGGTGTCAGTGGGGGGGAGGAAAAGTGCCCCATCGTTGGTGTCAGTGGGAGGAATAATGCCCCATCATTGGTATCAGTGACACCAATGATGGGGCACTATTCCTCCCACTGACACTTGCTGACCCCTGTTCCAGTATGGTGCTGCTGCAGCCAGCATATGTGGTTGCAGCAGCACCTAAGCACGGCACACTTACCTGCATCTCCTTCACTCGATTTTCGCGGGGCCGCTCAGCTCCGCCTCCTCGCCGGTGATTGGCCGCCTGTGTGCCTTTCCTGAGCTACAGTTCTGGCGGCCAATCACCGGTGAGAAGGCGGAGCCGAGCAGCCGCGTGAACATCCAGTGGACGAACCGAATGAAGGAGCAGCCGCGCTTCCTGGACCGGATCGTCGTGGGACCGGAGCCAGGTAAGAGACAGCAGCCCCCTGCCCACCCCTGTACTTAGTGTCCCTTCTGTTCTGTCCCCCTGCTAGACATCTGCAGACGTTGACTCGAGTATAAGCCGAGGGGGGGCGTTTTTTCAGCACAAAAACTGTGCTGAAAAACTCGGCTTATACTCGAGTATATACGGTATATTTTGTCCCTACTGCTTTGTCCGGCGCCCTGCCTGCATTTTGAATGTTCTTTCTGCCTGGAAACTTAGAAAAGTCCATGGCATCCAAAAAGCGTCCCTTTATGGCAAAATCGGTGTTAGACCGGCTAGAGAACAGCGATAGTAAATCAGAACCACTTGCAGAATTGAGTGATAATGATTCGTGGGGGAAATTCCTCATCAGACACTGAAAACGATTTTGCGACTTTGCTCAGCGATGTGTGAACTTGGCGCTATATTTCACATTTCAGTGTTTTTGGTTTGATTATATTATTGAATTAAATTTATTATTATTATATTATTATTTTTTATGATTATTTATTAAATTATAATTTATGATTTCGTGTTTCAAATTTTATCCTATCCGGAATGTTTAATAGACTCTTGTTCGGACAGATTTCAGTGAGTTATTCCGAAAAATTACAGCCTACAATAAAAAACTACATATTTCCATGCAAAAAAATGGTACCGCTTTCAGCACAAAAAATCGGAAAGAATCATACCGCCGAGGAGGTTAATGACATCAGTGACTTTGTGGGAGGTCAGTGGAAAGCATGAACATTGGATCCAAAAGGGAAGGGAAGAGGAAGATCCCTCAATCAGAAATGTAGAGGTCCACCAATTGGCCAGAGTTACAAATCCATAATAGGAAACACAGCTAAAAGGTACTTGTATCGTCCAACTGGCATCAAGAAGAAAGTACAAATCCTTTATCTGGTAATAACAGCGCTACCGGTCCTCTCCAAAAATACAGCCATGAGTATATTTTTGGAGAGGACCGGTAGCTCTTTTATTACCAGATAAAGGATTTGTATTTTCTTCTTGATGCCAGATGGACCTTTTTTGCGTGGGGTTTTTTTGGACGATACCTTTTGGATGTGCTTCCTATTATGGATTTGTAACTGTCCAATTGGTGGACCTCTACATTTCTGATTGAGGGATCTTCCTCTTCCTTTCCCTTTTGGATCCAATGTTCATCCAATGTTCAGCAACCAGAAGCTCACGCCTGCAATCAGCCATCACCTGAGGCTGATTGCAGGAGGTGTATTTAAGGAATGGCCAGACCTGCAGTCAGTGCCTTGGTGTTTGTTTCCCATGTGCCCTGTTTCCTGTCTCCTGCCTGCTCGACTCTCCTGCTTGACTCTGACTCTGATAGAACTCCACCTGCACTGACCCCGGCTATTCCTGACCATTCTTCTGCTTGCTCCCGTTGTACCTTTCTGCCTGATTGTTCCTGACCCGGCCTGCCTGACCACTCCACCTCTCCAGCCCTGACTGCACCTCTACCTATTAGTTTAAGGTTTGTTTTGTTTTGCACTGTTTGTTTATCTTGTGCAGCTCATAATAAATATTATTATTATTTAATCATTTCTGAAGCCTGCTGTTTCCCTGTGTCAGTCCACACATCTCTGGTCATACCTGGATCTCTGACAACTGGCCTCCCACAAAGTCACTGATGTCATTAATGGAGATATATACTTTGTCTCCCTGAAGAAGCGGGCTTTGTCCCGTGAAACATGTCGGAGTAACAAGCAAAGTGTCAACTTGGAACTGTCATGCTAATCATGACGTTTCTGCTATTTAAGACCATATTCTGCAGTGTCATGTATTGATTTATTGCTTGTTACTCCAATGCGTTTCACGGGACACAACCCGCTTCTTCAAGGAGACAAAGTATATCATTGCATTCATGACATCAGTCAAAATATATGAAAAATATTTTTATAAATACATTTTCAAACATACTGTATGTCTTTAAAAATACATTTAATCTACATTTTTGGAATGCATTTACAAATATATGTAAAAATATATGTCAATATTACTTTTTTATATGTTAAAAAAAATCTGAAGAATATATTTTAAAAAAAATATATTTTTAAAAATATTTTTCATATATTGTGT